ATCAAATATATAAAATATTTTAACCTTGTAGTCACAGTGTAAGAATATCCACTAGCTCATAATGTCCCGTGCGTGTCGAAAGAGGCGACAGAAGGAAACAAGCTAGTCGATGGACAGCAGTCTTCATAATAACAACTAAAAAGAGACTGCATTTGCCAACCCGCTGCCAAGCGTAGCTAAACTACAACTATGGCGAACATACGAGTTGTTCTATATTATAATTTTACTTTTTATTTTTTTCTATTTTTAGGAATATTTTATAAATTATTTTTGGCATAAAATAATACAAATAGCACATACAATTGTTTAATTTTTTATTAAAAACAGCCAATAAAAACTTGTTACCCAGGAATCAAATTTTTTTAGGCTATAATACTTATTTTTTGCTCTCCCTGCACATCTTCCTCTTCTCGCATAAGTTGAAAATTACTTAGGAATATTATTCGTTCCATGATTTGATTTAAGAACATCATCTTTGTTCAACAATTGTAAATATTTTCATCTCATTACGTTTCTACAATTCACCAACTAGCTTTCTTAATTCAACTACGTTCTCCTGCAGCAATTATTAAAGGCATTATCAAACAAACTAGATTTATTTGGTATAACTATGCAATTCATAATAGATGAATAGGAGCCTTATTGCAAAGTTCATTGCTTGAATACGAAATTACATTGAACTATAGCTTTATGGTAAAATTGATGATATCCAAGGTAATTTACCAGTTGTTTTAAAATTATACCAATCATATAGAAACCGTCCAATAATTAATAAAATGAGCGCAGCTAGAGTTAAATTAATAATATTGATATAGCTTATTGGCATTTTTACTTGACTTCTACTGCATACATTACCCAAAGACATTAAACTAATCTGAAACAAAGACATTTTTGCATAATAACAAATTATGTCTGACGTAATACATAGCAAAAGCTTTATTGGGTCATCATTGAAGTGTAGTAGTTTTTTTTTTATAAAATAGGGGTATTAAACGGACAGTAGCAGTCCACTTGACGGTAAGTGGATGCTGTGGCCCATATTTATCTACATATATCCTTGATTAAGAATCAAAATGCAAAAGCCTTGTCACCCCTGAGGACTAAGATGGAATGTCTCGTTTCCAGTAAAAGGGTCTCCCATTCTCTACACTCACCATACGAAACACAGTAGCCTTAAGCTGATATTTCACGCAGTATTCTGTGAGAGCGTGGTTCAACCCTGGTCGAGCCGACCCATTCGTGCTACAACTAATATAGCTGAAGCGTGGCTCCGCCACGCAAAAAAAATCGTTTGAAATACTTTTTTTCCACGTCTGGGTTCAGCGCAAATCTCCTGCTATCCTCTGAGGTAAAATATTTAGGTCTTACCTTGGACAGTAAATTCAATTGGAATATACACATATAAAACAAAATCAACAATGCTAGTATAACTTTCTGGCAATGCAGAAACATGAATGGCAAACGATAGGGTCTGACGCCAAAAACAAAACTGTAATTCGGCCCATGATCACATACGACGCTCTGGTATGGTGGACGAAAACAAATGAAGTCACCACTATAAAGAAGCTTCAACGTTATCAGAGACTGACAAGTATGGCTGCCACAGGCTGTATAAGGACTACACTAACAAACTTAAAGACTATACTGTAGCTAACCCCTCTTCATCTACACATCCAACAAGAAGCGACTTTAGCTACCATTAGGCTCAAGATCCTAAATCTTTGGAGTAAAATTAGAGTCCCCCATACAGGTTTAATTGATAGAATTTAAATGAAACTAATTTTTACGGATTTCTTCGAGTTTAATTTAACTTTTTACTTCCCGACGTTTCGGGTGCTTTTCAGCACCCGTGGTCACGGGAGGAACTGAGCTGTTTGACGTCCCGATGGTATAGATAGCCCAGCCACCTTCAGTTTTTGAATATTAATTTTTGGTCCGATATACGCAGAATGAGCTTATATTGTCTTGAAATCTTGCAGTGGTATGCTTTTGTTTGGATTTAATTTTATTAATTATAGGATAAACGTTAAGATGGAGAGGTCGTGTCTAATGAAGTCAACGCTCCGTGCTCTAATCCAAAGCCAAGAAAACTTTCAACTCTAGTTACAAAATCGTTTTCAGTGCCTAGAAGATTGCAATAAAGTGGACAATATGAATAACATGGTGGAAACTGCCCATTCGTTCGGAGCTAAGTTCTGTAAGACTCGTCGCAGAAGACCACAAAAATTCTCCAATCACACTCTTAAACTCATGACTATTAGACGGGAGATAAAGCTAGTCTTCAGCAGATTTGATAGCATACAGACAAGTGAACAGACAGATCTCCAAATGCATGCGTTGGGACTTGCGCAACTTCAATACAGCAATCGACCAAAACTAGTGCTTCAAAATCTTTGCCAGAGATCTGTCTGCCAGAAAGTGCCAACTGTGGAAACTGAATGCCAAATGTGGCAGCATCGTTTCCAGGACACCTTGAAATGAGTGAAATTGAGAAATTAGGCAGTTGCACACGTCATCGTTGGAGCCACACGCAATTGTAACGACGTAAGAGCAAGTCTTATCTGACACCATTCCGATGATATTCCGGACGTTAGTTTAAGCGAGATTAGAATAGCTCTCCAGTACCTTAAAAATGGCAAGTTCCCGGTCGAGGATGGGAATTACAGCGGAGCTTCTGAACATAAAGTCCTTCAGAGGCTATTTAATTCCATTCTCCGTGGTGGGACTACTCCGGAGACGTGGAGCAGAAGTGCGGTGGTCTTGTTCTTCAAGAAAGGCTACAACGCTCTCTTGAAGAACTACAGATAGATTTCCCTTCGTCTACGTGCTTTTTATGAGAGTTATTATTAATCGTCTCGCACGCAGACTCGACGACTTCCAGCCTCCCGAACAAGCCGGTTTCCGAAAATGATTTATTGCCATAGACCACATACATACCCTACGGCAAATTTTACAGAGGACCGAAAAGTACAATCTGCCACTTTGTTTTACGTATGGGGACTATGAGAAAGCTTTTGATTCCGTCGAAATTTGGGCGGTGCTGCAGTCCCTTCAGCGGTGCCAAGTGGACTGTCAGTATATCGAAGTGCTGAAGGGTTTGTACAGTAGGGCTACGATTAGCTGTTGCTGGAGGACCTGAGCACTATGCTCAATTACCTCAACAGTGTCTCCCAACAGATAGGTCTTAGGATGAACATGGAAAAAACGAAAATCATATTTAACATCCATGTCACACCTATACCGGTACTCGGTAGTTGTTGGGAGCACTAAGCTCGAAGTTGTTGACCAATATGTTTACCTGGGACAAATAGTCCAACTAGGTGAGTCCAGCTTCAAACTTCAAGATTCAACTCGGCTGGGTAGCGTTCGGGAGATTACGAGACATCTTCTCGTCAGGCATACCGCAAAACTAGATTGCACAACCAGTGTGTGTTTCCAGTGATCACCTAAGGATCTGAGACGTGGTGCTTCAATGCTGGCCGTATAGGGAACCTCAAAGTAGCTCAGCGGGCTATGTAGAGGGCTATGCTCGGTGTTTCTTTACGTGATAGACTTAAAGCGAGGATATCCGCAGTAGAAATCAGAATAATCGACACAGCCCAACGGATTATGAAGCTGAAGTGGCAATGGGTCGGCCATATAGCTCGAAGAACAGACAACCGATGGGGAAGAAATGTTCTGGAATACTCCCTCACTAGATGGAGTGACCACGAGTAAGACATACAGGAAGTCAATGGATGCAGGTGGCTTGGGACCGTGCTTTATGGCATTCCATGGGGGAGGCATATGTTCAGCAGTGGACTTATGAAGGGCTGTAATGATTATGATGAAGAAGTATAAGATACAATTAAATGAAACCAGCCAGCCAGATGGTTAAGCGCAAAAGAGCTTCGAGTGTTCACGGATTTTTCTAAAACAAATGAAAGTGTAGGATCTGAAACTTTCTCACCTCAATAAAAAGACCTGAATATCCACATATGTACACTGCTGGGCACCCAAAACATCGTCTTTCAGGCAAAATGTAAGGGTGTCATCCAAGCGGCACTAACAATAGATGCTAGGAAGGTAAAAGACTTCTCCATCAGAATACTGACAGAGAGTATGGCGGTACTACAAGCTCTGAGTTGCAATGAACTCGGGACTAATATATGAATGCCAACAACTATTAAATGAGGTATGTAAGCACAACAATGTGACTCTGCAATGGATAAAGGGACAAAGTGGATCCATAGGCAATGATGCAGCAGACAAAGTGGTCAGAAGAGAATTGGGTCTGGCCACTATAGGGCCGGAACCAATCATACCAATCCTCTCTGGTAACATTCGTTCACTGGTATGCAGAAAATTCACTAATCAACACGCTCAGCTTTGGAAAAATCTAGTAGACTGCAGACAAGCTAGGGAGGGCCTGTCTGAAATAAACAGTCGTTTAATCAAGGTTCTAATGATATTGAACAAGCCACAAATCAGGATAGTAACAGGACATGGCTGCTTTAACAAACATTTATTTATCATAGGTGTTACAGATAGTCCTCTATCCAAGGCCTGTATGGGGAAGGAAGAAACGGTGGCCCACGTGTTGCTGACATGTGCGGAGGTCGCTGCATACAGGGCTAAACATCTCAGAATGCCGGGATCACTCCCCGAAGTTCCTTGCAACCTGAGAGGATTAGATGTGGAGTTGCGGAAAACAGCCCGTCGTAACTAAACTATACTAAACTTCCACGTCGGGGCTCATATTCAAAAATAATACGAATTTTCTATTTGTAGCAATATGGCAGAAGAAATGAAACCCAAAGAAACAAATGAATAACTGTTTCTGTAAAAGGAATCACATGCTTTACATAAAATATTTATTTGAATTTCGGATTTCAAGTCAAACCATTCATAATTACAGAGGCCACTCCAACAAAATGGCAATTTCATTAAATATATTAAATTAATTTATTAAATTAATGACAATTATATATGGGTAAAAAACATAATATTTTACTAGGAGATTATGTTATAGTTACCTGAGTGAGAGAAATAGTTTTGTCGTCGGACTTCGGACATCTTATATCTGACTGGTCACGTATCACTCGCTTATACTTAAGTAGTAAGGCTTGAAACCGAGGAATAAAGTGACAGTCGCATCGCCAAGGATTATGGCCCAACAGTAAGTGCATTATATTATTATTGGCTTGGATCGCCTTATCAAACGCATACACAGGAATCTAAAAATAGTATAAAGTTTATTAATAAATAAGGAAATAATTGTATTAAGATTTTATTTATAGAATAAGAGTGAAACGGGCACACAGTCCACCTGAGGAAATTTTGACCTAAACAAACTTCTTGTCTTGCATAGAATATTCAAGATATATATATATATATAGGCACATTCAATTAATTCATTCAAAAATAGAACATATTCAAGATATAGTTCTTATGTTAGGTTCCAGTGGATTAATGGTAAAATAATGATTTTACATATATTTTGTGATAATGGTCTTCGTCGTACTTAATTTTTACTTGATTGTAAATTACTTCAAATATAATTTGCAAATAAAAATCAACAAAAAACGACTTAATCATGTTTATTTTTCTTGGGAGTGCTCTGAGGAATTGTTCGGACTAATTCCAGCCGCTCAATTTCACCATCGCACATCGCGACAAAACTTGCGATACCATCCATACCATCTGGATTGGCGGTCCACCACTGTGCGATTTAGAAGAAGTTTTCTTCCTCGCACAACTTTCTTGTGGAATCGATTACCACCAGCGAATTTTCCGGACCGATACAACTTAGGGACCTTCAAGAAAAGAGCCTTTTCCTTTTAAAAGTCCGACAGCGCATCTGCAATTCCCCTGGTGTTGCAGTTGTTCATGGGCGGCGGTAGTCATTTACCATCAGGTGATCCGCATGCTCGTTTACCCCCTCTCCTATAAAAAAAAGTAATGAAAACATAAACATGTATACCTGTTTCAACATATTTCCACGTAAACTTAAAACACGGAATGTCCCAAACCACTCCCAACCTTCTAATTCTTTAACGGTTGATATGCTGTTATTGTCTAAATACAAATCTGCAAGTGTCTTATATTGAGGGTTTTGTATTACCATCCTTATCGAGTTGATCTAAAATTAATTTATTGCTGTCAATTCTATTAAAATGTCTAATATATAAAGCATTTATGGTAAAATCAGGTTTTTATTCAAAAACCTATTTTTTAACAAGAACCAGAAGAAGACAAAATTACTACATAGATGGTAGGACACTTTTTCTGTTTAAGAGTACGACTGCCGCTTGCACTGCTGTGTTCCAGTCTGAACTGTAGCCAGTGGGAGAGTTATTATAATTAGAGAGTAGTTATACGTGGTAGAGCCATGCTGCAGCTATATTGGTAGTATAGTTGTAGCACGAATGGGTCGGCTCGACCGGCGAAGGACCACGCTCTCACAGAATACCAGCGTAAAATAGTAGCTTAAAACTGCTGTGTTTCGTAAGGTGAGTGTAGAGAACCGGAGACCCTTTTTACTGGAAAAGAGCCATTCCATCTTAGTTCTCACAGGTGACAACGCATCTGCATTTTGATTCGCAAACGACGACAGATATAGATGTCTATGGGCCACAGCAACCACTCACCATCAGGTGGACTGTGTGCTCGTGTGTCACTCTAACTTATATTAAAAATATTACAGGCTGTGAGGTATTCCATGTCAGTACTCAGAGGTGACAACGCATCTGTAGCTTTTTTGTTTGAATTTGGCTGCAGGTGTTCATTTACTGCAGAAGCCACTTAATTCCATTGGACGTTAAGATACTTTGTCCCTTATTTTATAAAAAAAAAGACTAATATTTTTTTATAAAAAAAGACAGAAATTTGATCATGGCAGCTAGTCTCACAGGAGACTCCACTTGCTTAGGACGTGCGTGTGCTTGCAGGTGTACGTTCTATTATCTCACTCGCAATGAAAAGGCAATCTGACACATCTGAAGAGCGATCAGCCGCCAGGACCTTAGGAGATCCTATCACGAATTTCTCTGTCAAGTTTAGAGAAATTCAGTAATTCCAGCAACATTTATACCAAAAGCAAAGGTTTCATTTCCTTATATGCTAGGTTTTTGTAATCACTTGCCCATATAGATTTAAATTTTTATGATTTTATTTTTATTTTTAAAGTAAAAATAAACACTGAAGTTATTTTCTCGGGATGTTTTTTTTTACACTACAATATAGTAGTAATTCAGTTGGTAAAATTACAATTTTACAATTTTCGTGAGCTCGGGGTCCCAATCGGATAACTTGCATAAATGTCGGCAGTTATAGCTATTTCTATAAATTTAAGGGAAAGGCCTAAAATATATCCTAATAAATTAGGCTAATTGTACCATAATATCTTTTACTAAAGGTAAAATTTAAAAAAAAATCATGAGAAAAAGTTTTGTTAACTATACGTTTAAAATGCATTCATTTGATTAAGTAGCTCACCTTATTGTTTTCCAGCCTTAAAGTAGTAGTTCCAGGCGGTAGAGTGGCCGGTGGCATTTCCAAATTTCTGTTGGCACAGTCTACAGTGATCATCGGTATCACGGCCCCAGCAAGATCCGACACCACATGTGTCATTGCACATGAACAGGGTTCAGGACAGGTTTGACGCACCATCTTATAAAAGATAATCGAGTGATTATCAAAAATTAAACCTATCACGAAATAGTCAAAAACATGTTTCCTCACCAACTGGTTAATGCTATAAATAACGTTAAGCATAATGGCTGATCTCTTAAAAACTAAAGTATGGAATTGATTTATCGAGATATACTTTAAAAGTAATAACAAGCGTAATAAATTTTGAAAGGGAAATAAAGGAAGGAATTAACATAATGAAATAATTAATGCTTTTACTTAATTTTTTTACTAACGCATTTTCAATACATTTATCCACATAATATTGTGATTTATAAAATATTTAAAAAAATATAATAAAAAAACAATTTAAATTTTTGAATTACCTAAAACAATTTTGTAGTTTTTTAATGATTTGATAAAAGTTATCTATCAAATAAACCTGACTGAATGAAAGTGATACAATTGAATAATATGAATACCTTTTAAGCGATGGTTGATTAATCTACCCTTAGTAATATTTGTTTTGAAAAATATAAATTGGGTTATATTTTTCACTTATAAGACCTAATAGTGTAATTACATAATAGTGGCAGATAACAAGCCCATTCTTACACATTATAATGATAAGATTTATGATTCATCGCTAAATAGTTTTAAAAGCAGCACTCGCTAAGTATGAAGGACTTGGCAAAAGCAGTCGCCACACTTTATCATAAAAATCAATAGCTGTATGTACCTTATCACATTGAAACGGTACGTAACTTCAGGCAAATTTATTATTTTAAGTCAAAGAGTTGGAAAAGTACTTGATTGATTTTACTTATTAATTAAAATGAAAGAGAGCGACACGGTTGGTCGGAATATAACACAACGAACGGAATAATTACTATTTTAAATGGTGGGACGAGTAATGTAAAGCGTCGCTAAATTTAATTACGTCTGCACAGTGTGAAAACTTAGCAGGCTGCAAAGAATCAATCAAGGTTTATAGCAGAGCCAAATTAATATTTACTATTAATGAAAACATACAGTGTTAATAATTATAGGAGGTAAAATAATATAAAATATTGCATAAGCTAAGAATTTATAAAACAAATAGTAAAAATAAATAATACGTCTGTATCTTGACAATTAATATAAGCTAGGTATTTTCTCAAATATTACATACATTCTTACCTATTAAAATGCCGTTTTAGTATTTTCTTATACTGGAATTCGCAATTCAAAATATATTTTTATAAGATATGTCTTTATTTACTTATTTTTAATTTAATTAAAACGGTAAAACCAATTACATTAATTAAAGACAACGTATTCATTCTTCTCGCTCACAAAACTTCAGGCATTCAGAATGTTGTAGATAGATTGCCTAGGGTTTTCAGAACGAATAAAATTACTTGTTAACTAGTCAGGGAGGCTTTCTTCATTTCTTACTTTCTTTTTCTGGTAAGGCCCGAACGTCGTATGAATCCCCAGCCACTGGTTGCGATATTTATATATTTTCTAACAACTTTCTAGAAACTTTCTAGAAACACATTATTCCTACTTCATTTTTCAATAAAACACAAAATCTTGCGCTTCCAACTCCAATAACCGTTTAGGCGCGTTTCGATGGCTTAGGTGTGTTGTCGGAATCTTCAACTTATTGCATAGCGGCATTAGTGACGTCAGTCTTCGTACTTGTGGTATTTTCTATAGACGTCGTCTGTTCTGTGGTTGAGGTTTCCGTATTCCATAGCAGTGATTTCCGATCAGTTAACATATTCCCCTTTACTTGTTGTTGTGATACCAGTGCTTTTCAAGGTGCTGACGGCAATATAGTAATATTACAAGGATTTTGATTCGAGGGCCTTAGTCACCTGAGATGCTCAGACGCATCAGCTACACTTCCATTCTTCCACCGTGTAATTTTATTTATTTCGATAGCTTGAAATCGGAAGAAATGCTTGAAAGCCCGCGCTGTTTGAATCGTGTATCTACTCATTTGCGATTCTCTATTGAAACGTAATGAAACAGAACCATTTTTGAAAAAATTGATCACTGAGTTCTGATCACAAGAACGTGCGAAAAATATCATGGTAAAAGGGTAATCAAGCTCCACATACTATAGCGTAACCCGGATTAACATGCAATAAGGTGATCCTGTATTTATGGTGGGATTGGAAGAGCATCGTGTATTATTAGCTTTTACAATCGGGCAAAACCATCGATTCAGATCTCTACTGCCATCAACTAATGAGACTCAAGCAAGAAATTGAGAAAAAACGGCCGGAATAGATCAATAAAAAAGAAATAGTCTTTCATCATGATGACGCCAGCCCAGACACATCTTTGGCCACTCAGAAAAAAATTGAGAGAACTTGGTTGGGACATGTTAATTCACCATATTGTTCTGACCCTCAGATTTCACCCGTTTCAATCTCTTCATAATTCTTTGAGTAGTGTTAGGTTAACATCAGTAGAGGACTGTCAAAACTACTTGTCGCATTTTTTCGATGTCTCCAAGATGTCTACAGCAACAGGATTATATCGCTACCTACAAGATGGCAACAAGTTGTCGAACAAAATGACACATATATATTATAATTAAATGTAATTAAATTTTAAAAAATGTCTTAAATTTGTATATAAAATACGAAAAAACTTTTTCCCCGACCTATTACTAAACTGCTGGTTCAAAAGTTTTGAGATAAAGACCGTTTTAAACTAGATGAAATGTGTAATAAAGTGATAATAGTGAATTTGATAAGGATTTGAACTTTGTTACACAGGCGACTCACATATTCAGCAGTTTTACTACTTGTATTTTTAAAGCTTTCTTTCTCGTTATTGCGAAATTTTCTTTAAAAATCTTTGAGATGAAAAATTTCACGCCATGGAAGCTCCGAAGAGACACGGTTTTTTACGGCATAATCGTTCAATATCATCATCACATTAGATAAGTTGTAGAAAGTATTCATAAATTATACAACTAAACCTTCCACATGAATCAGTCTGTAAGTCGGTGGAAATCAAAATTATCGAATTTACAAAAAATTTAAGTGATCATCAAATTCAAATCGTAGAATAGAGAAGGTATATTAATTTTTTTGCCTCAAATTTATATACATATAATTGAAATAATAATAATTCATTTAAAGTATCCTTAAATTTTTCAACAACTCCATTTTTTAGTGATTATTAATAAAATAACTTAAATTTTTTAATGAAAAAAAAACCATTTGTGAATTGTTTTGAGGTCATTATAATATCCGTTGAGGCTGCGAGCCAATCGCAATCTTGCTATGTATTCTTTTGTATTTTCTATATTCTGATTACCATGCGTCATAACAAAACATAATGTGGCGGCGCTGTCGTCGCGTCACAAGCGAAAACACGTCGAAGTTTAAATCGCGCTAACAAAGTTCCGAAGTTAAAGCAGCATATATAGAATAGCTCCGAACTACCAATCGGAGCGTTCGCCGCTCCCCGGGCAGGACACCTTGCCACCACCTCCCGCCGGGGAGTTCTACCCATTACAATAATATAATATAACCTTTATTATGCAATGACAATTTTTTTTTAATTTTGACAACGTAAACATCAGTGTTTTATCATTTCACCATGCGGTGGCGTTACTAAAGCGATATAATGATGTCACTGGCGTTTGAATATACATTTTAGAAAAACCATTTTTAATTGTAAAATTACTTGAAAAATCAATCGTTAATTTTTTTTTTAATTTCCTTAAAATTTTTAGTAATTTTTCAAAAAAAAATTGAAAACATGCAACTTATCTATTACTGGATTATTTAAATGCGGCGTGGTGAATAGTAAATGCAAGATATTATACTCTTTACCTGCTGTTTTTAGGGTTTTTTTTAAAGAATAAGGGTGACAAGCGAGCGCACAGACCACCTTAAGGTAAGTGGATGCTGTGGCCCATGGAGATTTACATCTATCCTCGATTATAAATGAAAATGCATATGCATTGTCACTCAGGACTAAGATAGAAGCCTCGTATCCACTAAAAACCGACTCCGGTTCTTTACACTCACAATACGAATTACAACAGCATTGAGCTGCTATTTTACGCTGGTATTCTGTGAGTGCGTAGGCCTTCCCCGGTCGAGCCGACCTAATCGTGCTACAACCATAATATGGCTGTAGCATGGCTCTACCACGTATAAAAACTATGTCCTATTTTAGTCACGTTAGACACATTATATCTAAATGTGTGCTAATAAAGTAAAGTATGCTAATTTTCCTATGAAGACGCCTCAATAAACCCAAAAATAAAGCCATTTACGTAATGGTTAGTAAACTGTGACATCACGAAGCATGATGTCCGTAGATTAAAATGCAAGTGGATTGCCATGGTTATGGTTAACAAATACAGCGAAGGACGCTCTAATGACAATCCATTTAGTGTGCCTCCACACTATTGTGTATTTTCCTCCATTTTTACGTACCACGTACGTAGTTTGTTTCGTCATGACTCGTAAATCGGAATCAAATTTAACAACGTTTGTGTTTTTATAACGAGAAAAAAAATGGAACCCTTATACTCACTTTGCAGTCCGTCCGTCTATTTGTCTGTCGAGAACTTTTTTTTTAATAATAATTTCTTGGCAGAGTTATCAAGATGCAATAAATATCAAATACTAAGATCTGCAGTTTTTCGCAGATATAATAAATTCAAGCTTTTAAGCCAACGCAATGAATATATGACCATTTATATCACATATTTTAATACTCGAAAACTCACTGATTAAAACCTATAGGTAAGGTACTTCCGTTGAATTCCGTGGAATGAAAATTAAATGATTTTACTGTGGCAAAACAAGGTCTTACAGTACAAGTTTTAAAGATTAAATGCCGAATACGTAATTTGTAGTTATAACACATAAAACTATATTTCTTTTGTGACTACAAACTTACATTTTCATTTGGAGCATCGATCGTGATGTAGACTGTTGTATAAGATTGTTCCACTGCAAAGTTAAGTTCACCCTTCT